ATGACATCTCCGTCCATAAATGTCCGTTACTACCATACTGGCCTTAGCGCTAACTAGGAAGAGTGGCATCTATCGAGTCAGCAATTTGGCTTCCATTTTGCAACATAACATGCCTTTCTAATTTTTACTAAGTTGCTCACCTGTATTTCTGGTGGACATATTCATATAAACGTGTAGCCTTTGTTTGAGAAGACAGAACAGAGTTTGGAAATGAAGAGTCACATTGCAAATCACAAGGAAAACTACCTTATTTCCTTGCATACAACACACACTTCCCATCAAAAAAAACAGCTGCTGGAAATTGCTGTGCACATTATATCTGAGAAAATGTGGTAAGAACGGTTTTTGCCAAAAGTGAAAGTAAAATCTACACACCACTCCAGGAGCAGAACAGTGAGCAGACTGCTCCCTAGCTGCTGCTGTGCAGTTACTACAAGGAAAGATCTTTTTTTATTCATTCTGCCTTTAAAAAAAAACAAGGTGTGCATTATATTCCAGGGTGTGTTGTAGGTGAGAAAATATAGTGATTAAAGAACAGCAGGAAGCCTGAGGCAGATAAAAAAAACTATTTTACTGTATGTACCTAGCTTGACGTCCTTCCCACCCAAACACTCACTCAAGGTGTTCTCAACAGTTAGAGAAGATTGCACGGCAGCACAGATTCCCGCCAGCCTGGCGATTGAGAGGCACACTACAATTCCAAGCAACTAAATGGGAAGGGAGTTGCATCTCACGTGCTGGGAGCACCTAGAATTTACATTACAAGCTTCCAGTTAACTTTCATTTTTCACGTTATAGAAGAAAGTAAATTCCAATCTTACCATTAAAACACTGGATCCATTTCCGGCGTTCATCTCTTTGCCCTCCAACATCAAACATGCTAACGCAGAAAAAAAAGATTCAAGTCAGAACAGATTCTGTAGGTAAACTACACACATAAGCAACCTGGAAACTGCCATTTTCTAGAACAGGGCTGTCCAACTGTCTTTTACGTGATCTGCAAGGGGGCCTGCAAGGGGTTAAAACTGTGCCCCCCCCCCCCAGGGTTTTCACCTGGTTGCTGCTTCCCCAACAGCAGCCAAAATCTCCAGACATCCCCTCACTCCTTGCAGCTGCCACTTCCCAACTCTGCCTCCAGGGGTGGGGCAGCATGGGAAGCTGGAAGTGAATCCAGGCCATGCGCTGGGAGGAGATCATACCCCCATGGGGCAGCAATGTGTAGGGGTACTTGGAGCAGTGGTGGTAGGGGGGTGCCTATGAGTGTGTTGGGGTGAGATGGGGGGGTAGCAAAATTGCATCTGCAAGCTTGTGTGGTACATCAGGGGAGAGGTGTGTACACCAGTGGGGAACAGTGCGTTGTATACTAGTGGGGAGCACACTTGACACAGCCCATGTGGCACAGGATCCCCAGGCCTTAGAAGTTGGCCAGCCCAGTTCTAAAACCTAGCAAGACTGAGGACTGTGGGAACCTGCAGGGAGAACTAACAGTTCATCACTGAATGCAACAAAGCTTTCAACCACACAACTTAATGTACTTTTATTCTCATTCATATTTTAAAAGAGATGGCAAAAAAGAACTGAACCCATATTGGCACAAGGATCTTTATTTGTCCTTGTTTTGTTAAAAACTTCTGCAGCGACAGGTTTCCTCTGACATGCTGTAGATCTAAGTTCAGCAATTACAGACCAATGATGAGGCAACAGCATTTTCTTGTCAGGCCAAACAACCTTTCAGTACTAGCTGCACATAAAACTGGGAAGGCGAAAAGAGTAAGCACCTTTGAAAATTTTTATTATGCACACAGGACAGAGCTGGGAAAGCGGCACAAATGCAGTTCAAAAGAAAAAAAAATCACTTCATAGTTAGGGAAAAATGGGGACAGACTCTCCAAAAGGCTTATAAAAGGCAAAAGGACAGGAAGAAGCAAAGGCAAACTGAAAGGAAGTTTGGTGGGGAAGGGCGGGGGGGGGGGGG